AATATTCTGTGAATATTTTCTATCAGTCTGTGGCTTGTCTTTTCTCATGACACTGTCTTTCATAAAATATTTTAATACAGTCCAGCTTATCAATTATTTCTTTCATACATGCCTTTCATGTTGTAATTTAAAAGTCATCACCATACCCAAGGTCATCATCTAGGTTTTCTCCTATGTTATCTTTTATGAATTTTATAGTTTTATAATTTACATGTAGGTCTGTGATCCATCTTGACTTAATTTTTGTGAAAGGTATAATGTCTGTGTCCAGATTCTGTTTTTTCCATGTGAATGTCCAATTGCTCCATCATCATTTATTGAAAAGACTATCTTTTCTCCATTGTATCACCTCTGCCCCTTGGTCCAAGATCAATCAACTATATTTATGTGGGTCTATTTGTGGGTTCTCTCTTCTGTTCCTTTGTCTTTCATTAATAATACACTGTCTTGACCACTGCAGCTTTACAGTAAGACTTGAAGTCAGGTAGTATCAGTCCTCCAACTTTGTTCTCCTCTTTCAATATTCAGTTGACCAATCTGGGTCTTTTGCTTCTCCACATAAACTTTGAAATCAGTTTCTTAATATCCACAAAACAATTTGCTGGGATTTTTTTAATTGGAATTTAGTTAAATCTATAGAGCAAGTGGGAATAAATGACAATTTGACAATGTTGATTCAGAATGTCCACGTACATGAGACATTTCTCCATTTATTTAATTTTTTTATCAGAGTTTTATAATTTACCTCATAGATCTTGTACACATTTTGTTAGATTTCTACCTAAGCATTTCATTTCTAGGGATGCTAATGTAAATGGTATTGGGTTTTTAATTCCAGATTCCACTTGTTCATTGCTGGCATATAGGAAAATGACTGAAATGTGTGTATTAAACTTGTATCCTGCAACCCTGCTATAATCACTTATTAGTTCCAGGAGACTTCTGTCAATTTTTTCAGATTTTGTAAACAGATACATGTTATCTGTAAGCAAAGACTGTTTTATTTCCTCCTTTCTAATCGATATACATTTTATTTCCTCTCCTTGTGTTATTCTATTAGGTAGGATTTTCAGCAAGATGTTGAAAAGGAATGGTGAGACGGGACACCTTTTTCTTGTTCCTAGTCTTAGCATGAAATCTTCTAGTTTCTCACCGTTAAGTATGATGTTAGCTGCAGGCTTCTTGTAGATGTTCTTTATCACATTGAGACAGTTTCCTTCTAATACTCATTTGCTGAAAGTTTTCATCATGGATAGGTGTTGAATTCTGTGAAATGTTTTGTACTCCACCTATTGCTATGTGATTTTCTTCTTCTTTAGCCCATTGATGTGATGGATTATACTAATTTATTTTTCTAATGTTGAACCAGCCTTGTATACCTGGGATAAATTCCACATGGTTGTAGCATGTAATTATTCTTATACATTGTTGGATTCAATTTGCTAATACTTTGTTGGGGATATTTGTATCTAGGTTCATAAGGGATATTGGTCTGTAGTTTTATTTTCTTGTAATGTCTGTGGCTTTGGTATTACAGCAATGCTGGCCTCGTAAAATGAGTTAGGAAGTATTCTCTCTGCTTCCATCTTCTGAAAAAGATTGTAGAAAATTGGTATAATTCCTTCCTTAAATGTTTGGAAGAATTCATCAGTGAACCCATGTGGGCTTTGTGCTTTCTGTTTTGGAAGGAACGCTTGTTTGGTGTTTAAGTTTTCTGGATCTGTGGTTTGTTTCCTGACATTAATTTGGGGAAATTCGCAGTCATAGTTGCTTTGAATATTGCTTCTGCTCCTTTTGCTTTCTTCTCTTTCTGGTACTCCCATACAGGTATATGATATCCTGTTCCATTTATTCGTTTCTTCTCTTTGCTTTCTTGTTTTGACAGTTTCTATTAACATACCCTCAAGCTCAAAGATTCTTTCCTTAGTCACATTCAGTCTACTAATGAGCCCATCAAAGGCATTTTTCATTTGTTACAGTATTTTTTCTGTCATTTATTTTCAGTTCTTTCTTAGAATTTCCATCTCTCTGCTTACATTATCCATTGTTCTTGCATGTTGTCTATTTTTTCCATTAAAGCCCTTAGCATACTGTAAAAAATAAAGTAGAGGTTCCTCTTCAAAGACTTTCCTCCCCATTTAATTAGGAATAAATAGTAACTTCTCTTAGAAGCAAAATTTACTCAAAGACCTGTGCTCCTAAATATTTGCCCCGGCATGCTGATATTAGTCCAAGCAAGGATTGGTCACAGCCTGTTCCTCTTCCTTACTTAAAAGTGTTTTTACCTTTCTCAGCATTCCACAAGTTACCTCCTCCTTCCTTTGTTCTCCTCTACCTTTGCCTCTTTTAAAAAGTTCTAAGTTGCTAGTCAGTCACGACAAATACAGAATGTGAGGTCCCATTCCAGCCAATGGAAACCGGACACAGCAGTAGGGTGGACGCATCAGGTTATAAATGACCCTGTCTCCTTTGTTTGGTGTATTCTCGTGGCAAAACTGCTGGCGAGTGTACCCTTTCTGCAGAAGTAAAAATGGCCTTGTTAATTAAATTTATGTTCAAGTACTATTTCTTTACGGTACCAGGGAACAAGCATTTCAAACAATATTAATCATAGTTGTTTTAAATTCATGGTCTGATAATACCAACATCCCTGTCATCCTCTGGGTTTGGTTCCGCTGCTTCCTCTGTCCATTCAAACTATGTTGCCTTTTAACGTGCCTTGCAATTTTTTATTGAAAGGCAGATAAAACATACTGGGTCAAAGGAATTGCAGTAAACAGCCCTTTAGTAATGTAGTGGTAAGATATACGGGAAGGGGAAGTGTCCTACAGTTCTACAATTTTATCTCATTCTTTTAGTAAGCCTGGGTCCCTAGGCTGTAAACTTCAGTTCTCAGTTTGTTTTCCCACCCCCTTAGGTGGTACAGAATGTCTAGAGGGAGCTAGAGTTGGGTATTTCCTTTCCCCCAGGGCAGTTAACCACTTGTAAAAATCCCAGTACACTAGGCTCTAGTAAAACAGTTTCTTTTGATGGCAAGTCTTGTTAAGAACAAAATGCTCTAGAATTTTTCAAAATAGTTCCTTTTACACTCCTCATGCAGGAAGCAATTGGAGATTTTTCTCTGATCTTCTCTGAGAATTCATGGAGGTAAAACTCACAAAGTGTGAAAGCCCCCCAGAATCTTTAACTCTCAAACTAATCCATAGCGAGCCTCCGGCAATTCATTAATTAGAGCCAGACTTTCCTACTCCAGTAATGGTTCCTGCGAAGGTGCGTTTCTATGGTAAGTTGTGATTCTTTGAATCCACCCATCTGTGTCTCTAATTTTGGGGAAGCTGTTTTCCCTGTGACCCCACTTCTCCTACAGTTCTAAGAAGAGTTGTTAATTTCTCATTTTGTTTCGCTTTTTAGTTCTTGTTAGGATGGAGTGATGACTTCTAAATTATTTACATGTCAGACCAGAAACCTGAAGTCTTGTCTATTATTGTTAAACAAGGTACTACAAAAATGCAAGTGTCTCTTTCCAGAAAATAGACAGTATATCTGCAATAGGGAAAAGAAAACTAACTCTCTGCCAAAACTCTTTTTTTCCTCACTAGAAACTGCTTGCTGCATTCCAAGCAGAAGTATTGGCATACACAAAGGCCTGGAATCAAGAAAAAGCATAGTCCTTTTAAGGAACTACAAATGTTCCTTAAAGGTTGGTGTGAAATTTGGCAGAAGAGCAGGAAATAAGGATAGAGACATATACAGAATGAAGTAATTCAGGGCCTGACTGGCCTAAAGACTTTGGATTTTATCCATTTGTTCTCCCTTGAATATTTTTAAATAGAAGAATGGTATTTGTTTATAGCCTACATCATTCAAAAATTATTGAAGGAAATTAGGAAATGGCATTGATTGATGTTACGTTTTGATTAGTGTTACGCCACTAACAGGGCTTTCAAGTATCAGATTCAAGGGCCTGGCATCAAAGAAATCAGATGGGCGGATCTTTCAGTAATCCTGGAAGAAATTATGAAAGCCTGAACTAACGCAGCAGCAGTGGGGAGAGAGGGGCACAAGACCAGATAGATATTTAGGGTTTGGTGACAAACTGAATGCAGGGACTGAGGGAGAGGGAGAAGTTGACTCTCATGTTTCTGGCTGGGGCAAGTACGTGAAGAGTGTCAACACACAGAGGGAAGAGTCCCTTTAAGGAGAAAATATTAATATGAGTTTTAGGAGTTGCATTCGATTGTGAGATATCCTAATGCAGACAGAAATCCAGTCCAAGTCTGGAGTTTAGGGGGGCCATCCTGGCTGGAGATAATAATCTGGTAGTCATCTTTCCATAAATAGAAGTTAAAAGCCATAGTGTGAGTGAGAGAGTGGAGTGAAGGAATGGAAAGACTTTGGACATAATCTTACCATATGTACCCAGGAAAAAAACCATGAAAAAGACTGAAAAACAGACAGAGAAGAGCAGTGTGTCTGATAGAGCTATTTTAACAAAATCCAGCATTTACAACAGAGTTTAAGAGTAAACCGGCAGGCCAGGTGCAGTGGCTCATGCCTGTAATACCAGCACTTTGGGAGGCTGAGGTGGGCGAATCACTTGAGGTTAGGAGTTCGAGATCAGCCTGGCCAACATGGTGAGACCACCCCCCGCCCCCCGGACCCCACTCCCCATTTCTACTAAAAATACAAAATTGAGCCAGCGTGGTGGCGTCTGCCTGTAATCCCAGCTACTCAGGTCGCTGAGGCACGAGAATCGCTTGAATCTAGGAGGCGGAGGTTGCAGTGACCCGAGATCGCACCACTGCACTCCGGCCTGGGCGACAGAACGAGACTCTGTCTCAAACAAAGTGTAAACCGGCAAAAATACTCCATTCTCTCTCTCTACACTCTGGCCCACTCTCAACACATCAAACTGTCCAGGATCAGGAGACGTTTTGTTCCCCTCATCTCCTCCTTCCAACTCTGCCCACGTTCTACTGTCTCCCCAAAATCCTACCTACCCTTCAGGAACTGCTGGAATGGGAGCTTGGGAAGTTTTCAGCAAACGCCTCTGTCTTTCTTTGTGGCCCCTTTATTCCCACAGCTCTGTGTCCTCTCCCTATGGCGAGTCCCTTGAGGGGCTGTATCTTACTCCTTGTGTCTGCAAGCACACATAATGCGTATTAGAGGAGGAAGCATTTGCCAGTGGAGCACAAAGCTGTTGCAGGTCTCTTACTGGTTCTCAGGCGCTATCAGTGAAATTCCCGTTCCCTCACCGTCCACATCTGTAATTTGCAAGCCTCATCTACGATAACTGGTGTAAAGTTACACAGGGGAGCCCTTTCCGGACAAAGAAACAAGTTCTGCAATAAGGCTGTCGGATTTTAGCCACGAAACCGGCGCCGCACAGCCTCGCCAGCGAGTGCACCCAGGAATCTACAAACTAGGGGCACGCACCACAGCTCGAGCACCGCCCTTCCGGTCGACGCCATTGCAAGCCCGCCCCCACGCTCCGCCCCCTCGCTAGGCGCTCGCCACGCCCACGCCGCGGTCGCCGCGCAGCCCAGTCGGAACATCCGCTCAGCCCAGTCGGAACATCCGCACCCCATGCTGACCAAAACCCGTGGACATGGCGAACCAGGTAGCGCCCGCTGAGCGGAGGGCCCTGAGTACTAGGGAGGGACTGCATGGCATGGGACCAGGCTGCTGTCCTCGGGGACGCGCGAGGCTCGGCCCAGGACGGGATCTGGCTCCTGGTTCTGAAACTGGGCCCCGGCGAGCGGCTCAGCAGGGCAGAAAGAGAAGGAAGCTTTGTCTCGGCTCTTCAGTTGGGAAGCAGCTTTCTTTGCTGCTTCTGGGACAACCGGAACGGGGTGGGGGTGGGAGAGCCGGAGAGTGGGGGGCAGGGGCTGGTCAGGACGGTATCCCAGTGGAAATGGCTTAGGAGCGGCCACGCATTGCTTCTTACACGAAGTTAAGTAACTCACTCTGGGTCATTCTTGCAGCTTGCATACTTGGCAGAGCTGCAGCCAGAGCCCGTGCTCCTAACTCCTGGGTTGCTTGTGTTTCATAATTGAGCCTACGCCTTAATTATTGTGCCTCCAAGGAGTGTATTTTGGAAAGACCCCTACGTCCCTTTCAGAAACGTTTTCGAGCGCTTGAACACCAAGAGATTTATCTTCCCTCTAGTCCTCACATAACAAACACCTCCGCGAGATGGGGACATCTTATCAAAAACTGTGATTTGAGGTCGGTTGTGATGGCGGACTGGGATTCCGACCCAGGTCTGCTCCTCTCTGACCAGTTCATAAAATACACATTAGACAGTAAAGAAAGGCAGAAATTACGAATAAATAGTCTAAAATTGCTGATTATTTTAATGCTTTGCAAATTTGGACATTTTCTAGTAAGACATATGGCCTTAACATATTGGAGTTTGAAAGAAACTCTAAACAGTCTTTCAGACTTAAACTGGTAGTTGCTCTTCCTTATTGCTGAGTGTCTTTGTTCACAGAATGTGAAAGATTGTAATTGTTACTATAGTTCAAATGTTGAAGTAGTGCCATTTCCCGCGGATTTAGAGTGGGACTTTGTTTTGCTTAGAATTGTCAGTAAAAAGGAAAGGTTAGGCTCCTGTAAGACATTTTTTAAAGGGGAGCAGGCCATCAAATTTAGTATTCTTGTCTCTTTGGATTTTTAGGTTGCATAACTTAATTGTTAGTATTCTGAATCTGACTTGTGGAGTTGAAATTTATGGCACATTGAAGTGAAAAAGATTCTAATGCATTGTCTGATTCTTTGTACTATAAGATTTAATATCTGCAATTTACTTTTAAAAAACGATCATTTCCAGCCTCACCAATTTACAGAGGCCATTCTTTTTTCCTTTTTTTTTTTTTTTTTTTTTTCCAGTTCAGATGGAATTTCACTCTTTGTTGCCCAGGCTGGAGTGCAGTGGCTCGATCTTGGCTCACTGCAACCTCCGCCTCCCGGGTTCAAGCAATTCTCCTGTCTCAGCTTCCCGAGTAGCTGGGATTACAGGCGCCCGCCACCATGCCCGGCTAAGTTTTGTATTTTTAGTAGAGACGGGAGTTTCGCTGTGTTGGCCAGGCTGGTCTCGAACTCCTCACCTCAGGTGATCCACCCATCTCGGCCTCCCAGAGTGTTGGGATTACAGGTGTGAGCCACCGCGCCCGGCCTACAGAGGCCATTCTTTTTATCTCTATCTAGTTCACCTCTCCTTTTCCTCAACCGTTTGTTCTATTGCTGTCAATAACTACTAACTTACTTTGCAAAGCTATGCTGCTCCAAGAATTGTGTTAGGGACTTCATATTCATATTCATTCCTTTTTTTTTTTTTTTTTTTTTTTTGAGCTCTGTCGCCCAGGCTGGAGTGCAGTGGTGCGATCTAGGCCTCAGCCTCCCCAGTAGCTGGGACTACAGGCACCCGCCACCTCGCCCGGCTAATTTTTTGTATTTTTAGTAGAGACTGGGTTTCACCTAGCCAGGATGGTCTCGATCTCCTGACCTCATGATCCACCCACCTCAGCCTCCCAAAGTACTGGGATTACAGGCGACTTGAGCCACCACGCCCGGCCAGGGACTTCGTATTCATTCTTACTCAGTCCTCACAATCACCCTATATATAGGTGTTTTATCACCATTTATAATTACTTTTTCCTCATCCTTCAGTATCCGGGTTAGAAGTGAAGCTCTCCCAAACCAAGCAAAGTTACGCTCTTAATCTACTTTTTTTGCTTTCTGTATTACTTTGTGCCTGTCTCTTTAAATCACACTCTTTGTAATTATTAACTTTAAAATCTGTCTCCTGTAAACCCAGTGGTTTACAACCTTTAGTCTGTCAACGCATTTCTCAAGTGTAATGTAAACTAATCAGGACCTTTCTCATTACGTATGGTTCTCTGGTTGTGGAGGGTATACTGACTATAATCTCTAAAGCAGCTCTGTGTGCTATAGATACATTAGTCACTTGTGTAATTTAAAATTTTTCAGTAGCCACATTGAAAAGGAAAAAGTGAAGTTTTAATAGTTTATAACATAAATAATGTTACTTAACATAAAATACCATTTCAACATGTAAGCAGTATTTTTTAAAATACTGTTAATGAGTATTTTTACTTTTCTTTGAACTAAGTGTTCAAAGTCCAGCTATATTTATAGCATATCTCTGTTTTCTTTTTTTGTTTGTTTTTTTGTTTGTTTGTTTGTTTGTTTTGTTTGAGATGATGTCTCGCTCTGTTGCCCAGGCTGGAGTGCAGTGGGACAATCTTGGCTCACTGCAGTCTCCACCTCCCAGGTTCAAGCCGTTCTCCTGCCTCAGCCTCCTGAGTAGCTAGGACCACACAGATGTGCACCACCATGCCCAGCTAATTTTTGTATTTTTGTAGAGACGAGGTTTCACCATGCTGGCCAGGTTGGTCTTGAACTCCTGACCTCATGATCTGCCTGCCTCAGCCTCCCACAGTGCTGAGATTACAGGCGTGAGCTACCATGCCCAGCCTGTGGTCATTTTCCAAGTGCAGGTGGCTGCTGTATTGGCCGGTGCGGTTACAAGGGATATAGCTCCTCATTGTTACATTCCTAATCCTCCTTCCCACCTTGCAGTTTTGCACCAAACCAGTGGTATTCAGAACAGCCTGATCAAAAGAATTTCTTGCGGCACATGTTAAGCATACAGATTTCTCGGACACCATGCCAGACCTGCTGAATCAGATTCTCTCAGAACTTGTGTTCTTAACCTGCTCTTGCTTATGCATTGTAGAGGGCCATTAAATATTTGATGAGTACAACTTTTTAACCAAAAGATGCTTTTCTATCTGACCAGGTAATCATCTCAATTAAATCATTTTTGATGTATACTATTTGTATGAAATCTAAAAACATGTCACTTGGAAACATATGTTTCTTTGTGAATCTGTGATATACTTTTTAAGGTTAGCATTAATCTGTATCTAAATTGGCTATTAAGTAGTTATTTGTTTAGAAGGATAAACAGCTTACTCCCTTTTTTCCCCACTTCAGGTTATCAAGTGCAAGGCTGCAGTTGCTTGGGAGGCTGGAAAGCCTCTCTCCATAGAGGAGATAGAGGTGGCACCCCCAAAGGCTCATGAAGTTCGAATCAAGGTAATGATATATTTAAGGCACTGGGGAAAAAAAAAAAGACACAAGGAGGTCTCTGGATAGATGAGTAGATCTGAGATCTGCAGAGGATAAATCCCAAAGGACAGTGTCAAAGGAAAGATATTGAAAAGTCATCCAGCCTTACAATCATAACATCCTTCTCTTATCACTCACCTTTGCAGCATGCTTCTCCATCTTTTTTAGCTTTGATCTTGGGCTGAACAGCTATCCCCATGGGTCATTGGATTATTGCAATTTATCTTCTGCAGTTTGGGTTTAAGGTAACTCTGTAGGATACTCATTTTTCTGCTGATTACATAACTTTAAATATATGCTGACACATTAGAAACAAAAGAAGAAATGTTACCAGAAAGGGTTCCTTATTCTGACACCCAGAGTGGGTTCTTGTACCTCACGCAAGGAAGAATTTGGAGTGAGTTCATAGAGTAAAGTAAAAGCAAGTTTATTAGAGAAGCAAAGAAATAAAAGAATAGCTACTCCATAGACAGAGCAGCAATATGGGCTGTTCAACCGAGTATACCTATAGTTATTTCTTGATTATATGCTAAACAAAGGGTTATTCATGAGTTTTCCAAGAAAGGGGTGGGCAATTCCCAGAACTAAGGATTCCTCCCCCTTTTAGACCATATAGGGTAACTTCATGACATTGCCGTGGCATTTGTAAACTCATGGCACTGGTGAGACTCCCTTTTGGTATACAGATGCACTATAATTAGCCTATAATGAGCCTTGAGGATGACCAGAGGTCACTTTCATTGCCGTCTTGGTTTTGATGGGTTTTTGCCGGCTTCTCTACCCCAGCCTGTCTTATCAGCAGGGTCTTTCTGACATGTATCTTGTGCCAACCTCCTACTTCATTCTGTGATTAAGAATGCTGTGATTAAGAATGCCTAGCATCCAGGGAATGCAGCCCGGTAGGTCTCAGCCTTATTTTACCCAGTGCCTATTCAAGATGGAGTCACTCTGGTTAAAATGCCTCTTCACTTTTGCTACAGCAACTAAACAAGATTTGAGAAGAGGCTCCTGATTGAATAGAGCAACAAGCAAGTGAAGTCAGCTTGCTTAGAGAGCTTTAAAATGCACCCACCCTGGCGGACAAGGGTAGGATTCAGGGAATTCATTATTCTAGTGCTTCTCAACCTCTGGTGGCAGAGAAATGATGTTACCCCTGGAGAGAGGCATATTGTACAAGGCAGCCAGTTGGAGAGATCTTTGAAACCTTGGCATGTAGAAAACTTCATGTGTTTAGCATTCTACTACTCTCTACTTGTTTTGATATAAAATTAGTGCTTTAGAGTAG